AGAAGGCGAGTCAGAAGCTCTTAGAGTGAGAATGTTGCCTGTCGCTCAAGTCATGGAAAGATGAGCAATATTTCAAAGATTTAATAATCTACGAATTGACTTAGAATGTGACGGTTCCCTAGTCGTCACTCATGAGGGTCGTCTCACTATCATAATCCTAAATAACACCAAAAGCCCAAATTGCATGTGTGCAGATTCTCAGACGATACGCCCAAATAGCCGACACACAGGCCATACAAGAAGAGATACAACCGATAGAAATAGCAAAATAACTCTCGCAATATGAGATTCAAACAAGCCCTTCCAAGAGTGCCAACAGCGCGTAACGAAATGGGATCCGTTAACTGCAAACTCCATCAGGGGCAGCCGAGCTTCATTTTCTGTCTTTCTTAGTCGTCAAATACCGGTCTGTGATACCGAAACTGTGTACGCCTGGCCATTTTTATGTAAAGAAAATGTGTGCAAATCGCTTCAAAAGTATGCTCAACATAATATAGATGCGCTGCGAAAGGTTGAGGCAAAGATTGTCTAAGCAGTGTTTTCCTTGTTTTGTGTCTGATGAGGGTAGTTGGGGTCTGTGAGGGACTTCTCCCACTCGTCCATCAGGGTTGTCGCGGTGCGTTTGATGTTACTAGGCGAGAATTGGTTGACGATGTTGGGTAGAAGCTCTTCTAGCTTGGGAGAGAGCAAAGGGGTTTCGTAGCCGGTCGACTTCTTCTTACTATGCCCGGTTAGCATCTTCACCAGCATTTCATCTCAGTTCCAATGCCAAGTGACTTACGAGGGTGAGTCCGTAGGTTCTCCCTCATCTGAAGTAGCAGACATATCGTCCAGTCCACCGCTGCCAATAGTAGATCCACTCCAGCGAGACGTCTTGGAAGATGAGGCCGGAGATTCCCAATTAGACCAGTCGTTATCATCCATCGAATCAAATCCAAGAGGCTGCCAAGAGAAAGACTTGTTCTTGGACTTTGTTTTGCTCCGTGAAGGTAGTTCGGGCCTTTTCGATGCTGTGCTTGTCAAGGTCGAGGATTTGGTCTCAGTTGCATCCGAGTTGTTGTGAGGTGGTTCAAATACTGTGCTCACTTTGGGCCTTAGCGGGCGGTTCGGTCGTATGGTATCCTGGTTTCGATTGGCTTCACCACGTTCATTGACACTGTTGGAGCGAACGGGCTGACCATTAATTGGCTCATCCCCAACTGTTATCTGGCGAATGTCCTCGACAAAAGCCCTGAGGCCCAACTTAAAGTCCTCGACAATCTGTGGAACAACCGGGCCGTTTTGTTGTGTGCGTGGCTGCCACGAGGCACGCTTAGATAAATGAGGATTTGTTAATTGAGCGGTCCTGCGCTCTATTGAAGGTAATTTTACTTGCTCCTGCTCGTGATCGCGATCCTGGTATAATGAGAATCCTGCGTCTGGTTTCGCCGGCGATAGCAGAGATAGGGTTCTTGTATGCCCGCCACGGAGGACCCTTCTTCGGTTGGGGGTCGCTGGGTTCTGAGTTTGCTGTAACAATTTCCTGCGATCTGAGTCGACACTTCGCCGGATAGATGCAGTATCATCTTCTGAGGATAAAACGGGACTGCGAAATGCTTCAAGAGGGATGGTGTCGCCCTTTTTCTCTTGTGCGGTCCATTTCTTTTTGAGCAACGTTAGATCTGCCTCGGCACGCGACAATTCTTCACGCAATTCGAGCACACGTCTCTCCTGAGCAGCAATTGCGATGATAAACCCATTTGCGTCAGCAGGAGTAGCAATGCCAGATTCGATTGGTGTCGGGGGGACTGATGACATGGAAGTAGAAGTCGGTGTTGGTCGGGAAGGGTCGCTTGTAGGGGGGGCAATTGGGAGCGTCAAAGAGAGTCGATTGACCTGGCGGTTCATGCTGGATACACTAGATTTGGCACGAGCGTGGCCACGTCTGAAAGGGACGCTCTCGTCCTTTGAAGCCGGTCGGGAAGGCATTGCTGCTGTTGAAGTCATGCTGCCGTGGCGGTTGTGTAAGGAGGAATTCAGGTGTCTCGGGTTGGACCCCTGAGTCAGGTCACGAACAGGAGCGTACCTAGGGTTGACGGAGGCAGCGACACCGACAGTGGGAGAAGCAGTAGCAGAAGTGGTTGAATTAGGGGCTGTCTCAAAATTTGAGTTGGATGGAGTGGTGGGAAGAACTAAATCCGCTGGCAAACGGTCGGCAACTGAGTAGCGTCGACGGATAGCTTGTTGTTGCGAGGCCATGCCCATTAACTCGTAGGGATTCGACTTATTGAAAAGAAGGGAACGGAGGCCGAGCAGTCTTCGGCGTTTATGCAAAATGAAATGTAACTGAGAATGGAAATGAGTGGCTAGAGCTCTTCGGGCTCTGAGGCGCCGCAATCTAGCAGCGGCGACAGCAGCAACAGTGGCTCTGGCAGTGAGCGCTCTATGGTGTAACTGTGTCAGATGGCAGTGATCATCGAAGAGAGCGAACGAGCAACGATGAGCAACGCAGATTTGAAAGAGAAAGCCGTTCATCAGAATAAGGAGAGAGAGGCGAGTCCAAGGTGGATTGTGGGTGGCTTAGTGGTGTATCAAGTTTCGCATGGGGTATGGCGCCAGCCGGGGTGGAGTGTCCACCAATTGCTCAGTGGTTGTCGTCGTAAATAGAGCCCTGCAGGCGTTCAGTAGCACGCCCCTAGATCCCCTAACTTGGATAGACGTTGACTGGCTTAGACTGGGCGGGCGTTGTCAGGAGAATAGGAGCGGGCAGCGGAACACCATTGGACGCTGGGGAGGACGCAGGAACTTCTCGAATTAGGAAGCCAGGGACGATGAGGCTTGCCAGGGGCCAGACGCGAACAAATTGACGAATCCCAGCAAGGGACAGGATGACGTTAAGCGGATGGGGCGGGCGATAAGGAGCCGTTGAGAGATCAATTGTCGTCGAGAAGTGAGACTGTAATTATGAGCTAGAAACAAAGATGATATAAAAGGAAAGAATAGGTACTGATGGAAAAGAGAATTGACGGCAAGAAAAGGATCAAGAGTGTACTCCGTAATGAGCGAATATTCCCGAACAGGCGTTTACGGGCTGGAAAGGCCATAGAATGTCGAAAAAGCAAAGGAAAGGTAACTGGATGTTGTTGATACGCAATTCCGGGAGAATGGCCAACTCGACGGCAGCCCTGTCAAGGTGACTGGAGCCGCGAACAAGAATCTGTACGTCTCAGTAGGCGAGTGGTCCTGTAATTGAGGATCTAAAGCGTGTGATACTCGGGGCGCGCGAACTTGACCATGGGTTGATAAGGCCAGGCAAGGTAAAGTATTGGACATGAATTGTAGATGTTACTGCAGCAGGGTCTCGTGTGTTGGAAATTGGGGCATGTTTGTTTACATAGGTACTTGGGTAGTTATGGAGGGAGGCTCACAAATCAATCAAATGGATGGATCCTCGGCATCCATCAAAACACCATGCCATGCCATGCCAGTGCCATGCGAACTGACACAAAATCTTGCACTTACGGCCCAACCCGCAGGTCTCATTCAGGTTGTGACAATCGCACCACCTGACCCCGACAACCAGCTGTCGCTGCCCCGTTTTGCGCCATCCATCGAGCGAGCTCAACGCCTTATGCGAAGTGGGCCATATCCCCAGTTTGACTCGACTCACAAGGTCGGCCATCTCAACTTCTTGGTTTCAACTTTTTTTTCTATGCTCGATTCATCAGACCGCCCCGTTGCTAGCTACCCTCTCCTTCTGATCCGGAGACTACATGTCAACCGACCATTGACCCCCCCTAGTCATCCGACCATTGCAGTGAGGATTTCAATATCTCACCTGACTAATGCTATCTAAATCCTAAGTTTAAAATATTAAAATAAATCTTAAAAAAAAAAAAAAGATTAATAGAAAATAATTTAAACTAATTAAGAATAGATTTTTTAAAATATTAATAAGTAAGAAAAGAAGATATATAAGTCGGGTCAATGGTCGGTTGAGCTACATTCTCGGTAAGTACCTAGGCAAGGGTTCCAATGGAAGACAACAACAAACGAGCGTCTGCACTGCCCGTAGTTACCTTTGTCAAACAAAGTTCTGATAATTATCTCTTTGCCATCCTTGGCCGCTTTGGTACTGGGCATCTTGGACTGACTGACCTTGCTGACGGACGGGTCAACGTTTGCCACGACGATGGAGAAGTTCCCGTGACCCTGTCATTCAGGGTCAGGGGTCTTTGTCCTTTTTGGCTTTGCGCCTGCAGTGGACCTTGCATTAAAATTGCAGATCGAGAAGAGCTGAGCACAACTCAGCGCCGTCGCCTATGCTGCACGTAATAACTAGGTAAGGTAGTATGTATGTAAGTTCGTGATAATTACACTCGTTAACTAGCTGACTTGCATGTCTAGTTGACTACGTATTGCTACTATTTGGGCTGTCCTTATCTCAGACTTTTAGATTTTCTCACAATAATGACAGTCAGTGCCTGAAGAGGGTGGTCTCATAGCTGAGCCTCGAACATCCTGGTACAGCTCTGTACGCAAGCGACATTTGGAGCTATTCAAGATTTTGTATCATTTTTCTTGCCTTATGAAGCCCATTTTACAACGCCGAGGAACTTCTCTTAAACAATAACTGGTATGGTGCATGTGTAGATTGACAGGGATTTCTCGAAGACTCTTGATTGAAACATCATGTGACTTTCGCGTCAACTTCGTGTCCCCTCCATTAGGTTCCGGGCAGGCTCCCAGCACTGGCTGACAGGTAATTTATCTCACCCACTACCTACATTCATCGCCAAACCACCTCAGGCACTGCCGCTGCCCGTTGTTGGAAGCTTGTGAGAATGGCATCATTTGCTCTCATGCCGTGACTGTGCTGCCTGTTCTCTTCACTTTAGTATGAACAATTGAACCACCTCCACCCGTTCATCCGAGTTGCGAAATCTAAGTCGTGGGCTATTCTTTGTTCTCGTACGACGAGACCTTTTTGGATTACTACAGAGGTATAATGACCTCCCAGCATGCCGCTTCCATTCTCTCTGGTCTGTGAATTGCTCGAGCAATCTTTCCCTCTTTCTCTTGATAAGAAGAGTTGCTCCAACACTGTCACAAAGTGGTTCACTCGCCATCGCAACTACGTAGATGCTCACGACACGGACCTCCCGGCGCTGTTATCCACACTCCTTCCTGAGAAAAGGACCGATCGAGTTTACTGTATTCAAACTGCCCGCCTGGAAAGAATCATTGGTCGTGCATATCTACTTGGCTCGTCAAGGATCAAAGAGCTAGCTCAGTACCGCCAGCCAGGGTCTGGTGTCGATTTGGCAGACTGTGTTTTTCGCATCCTCACTGTCACTGTATGTATATACCTGAGGTTTGGAAGCTGCCAGCTAATCATTCATTAGCCAAGCCCCAGCTACGATCATAAAAACCTTGTTACAGTTGAAGAAATTGACCAACTTCTTCATTCTCTCGCGGCCAAAATAAAATGGAGCTCCCCCTCGATTCGTGCCTCACAGGCTAGCCTGACCCCAAGCAACAGGACTGATCTTGAGAGCCTCTACAGAAGGTTGAGCGCAACAGAGGCAAAATGGTTCACGCGGCTCATTTTGAAAAACTACCAGCCGCTCGCTCTAGACCCGCACCTTATATATCGACTGTGCGATCCTATTTTGCCCTGCGTTCTGAAGGTACAGGATGATTTTGCCACGGCAATCACTTCCCTTCAAGCAATACGAGGAAGGCTTCTCCCAAATTCCGGGCGCAAAACACCACGTGAACAGATTATGGGCACAGTCAAACCTCAACTGGGTGTCAAAATTGGACGACAACCTTGGGTCAAGGGGCGTAGCATTAAGCATTGTCTCGATATGGGCCATGGACGCATGAGTGTGGAGGAAAAGATTGATGGCGAATACTGTCAGATTCACGTCGATCCAAGCAAAGGGGATAAATGCATACAGATATTCTCGAAAAGCGGCAAAGATAGCACCGAAGATAGAGTAGCACTTCACGGGTCAGTACAAATGATACGACGCGCATATACGAACTGACATTCTGGGCAGAATCATACTAGAATCACTGAAGATTGGACAGCCCGATGCCCGAGTCAGGAAAGCGTGCATATTGGAAGGGGAATTGGTTGCATATGACGATTCTGTAGGTAAGTTCGGTCATCTTCTTGGCTCGTTTTAACATAGAACAGCAGGAGAAGATACTTCCGTTTCATAGGATTAGGAAGCATGTATCACGAAGAGGAAGGTTTTTGAACACAGAGCTAGACTCCTTGTAAGTTTCCCGTGCTTTCTTCGCCATGTGTTACTAAACTCCTAGGCCTGGGCCCCAGGAACACCTCATGATAATTTATTATGACGTTATGCTCTTCGAAAATCAGTCTCTAATCAATTTGAGGCATTCAGAGAGATTCAAGATCCTCTCCAACCTCATCTGTTGCCGCAATGGATGGGCGGGCCTCGTTCCACGCCAAGTTATTGATTTTGGACAGCCTCTGGGAGCTTCAACTCTTCGTAAGGCTTTTGCCATGGTTATCTTGGCTCGGAAAGAAGGCCTTGTTTTGAAACCAGATGAGCCATATTTCGACTTTGCAGACCAGAGACGAAATTTTTCGAGCTGCTGCATCAAGCTCAAGAAGGAATACATTGGCAATTTTGGAGATGTTGGCGACTTTTCGGTTGTTGGTGCCAGATATGACCTAACAAAAGCGTTGAGTTACCGAATTCCAGGGCTCAAATGGACTCATTTTTATATTGGCTGTCTGGACAACAGACAAGCAGTCAAAAGCTGGGGCGCTAAGCCAGAATTCACGATTGTCAATATTGTAGAGCTGAACGAGACTATCCTGAGAGAAGTTGTCACTTATTCAAACCCGGAGCCCGTTTCTCCCGACGACAATGGGGTACTGACTCTCAAACTGGCTCCCGGAGTTGAACAAGGGTCACCGCCGGCGTTCATATTCACTAGGCCATTGGTCTTTGATTTGAAATGCTTTAGTTTTGACCGAGTGGGAAATACTGGCTTCTGGAGTCTCAGATTTCCTTCGGTGACAAAGGTTCACTTTGACCGGGACTTCACTGACACCATGTCTTTCGAGCAGTTGCAGGCGCTGGCAAAGGAGGCTACGACTGCCGGCAAATTAGAAGATAGCCAGGAGAATCTACAGTGGATTGCAAAACTCGAAGCAGCTGACCCTCGTGGTATTGCTGTTGACGCTGTGAGCCAGTTGACAGTGACTACTATGCCAACGCCGTCGCCTCGCAAATCAACACAAAATACCACCTCTACACGGTCTCCAACATCGCCTTTTGCTACAAAATCACCGATTGAAGTCAGCCCTTGCCGCGGCCGCCGTGAAAGAGTTCACGGGGCCCCATCTTTGAATTTGCCTTCCATGACAGCTACATCATCTTTGCGAGCTGACCCATCGTCACGCACGGAATTGTGCGCCAAACACAAACGTGGCCTACCCTTCACTGGACCAACTTCGCAGCACAAACGTTTGAAGATTAGCAGTGAAGCATCGATAAGCCAAGAAGACTCCCCACACATTGATCTTACTTCACAACCACGCGCGCCTCTCGCCGCCCGGGACAACAACCCGCGACCTCAGCGCGCAATGTCTTCTTGCGCACCATGTTGTCCTACCTCTCCGGGTGAGAGCTTCTTTAATGAATCCAGCAACCCCGATGGGGTTAACGCTGAAGTCGTACAGTTCACCATCGACCCAGGCACTGGCGAGCTTCAGACAGAGGCCAAACCTGAGCGCCTGAAATCGTCAATAGCTAAAATAACAACAACATCAAAAGGACAATGCGTGTATGCTGGCGAAGACTGCATGCTTGCAAATGCAGTTGTACTTGTTTCGCCAGGCCTTCTCACCAGAAAAGAAGAAGCAAAAAAGCTTCTCGCTCAGCATGGTGCTGACAACCCTGTCACTGACATCGACACCTGGCTCAAAGCCGAGCAGGAGGCCAGACAGAACGGGAAAATCACTACACCTTCAAAGGCCTATGTTGTGTGCGATAGCGACAACAAACTTGTGTTCAAGCACCTAGCGGAAAAGTTCAAGGAGCTTCGCAAGGACAATCTTTTTAACAAAGGCACGCACATCGAAATTCACGACTGGCGCTTTTTGTCCTATCTCACGACACAAGAAGACGAGTCTATCCAAGAGAAATACTTTCATGGGTTCTCTGACTGGCGCATGCGTTGGAAGCTTCACACTATCTAGAACCAGGAACCCAGTGACGAGAGATCTGGGATCAAAACGCACCGCCCGTATACCACATAGTCTTATGTATACCAAATCACTATATCGATAAAATGATTGTGCTGTCTTATCATGTGTGATATAGCTATGGTTTTTCCTCATACAGATCGCCGTAACTCTCCTTGAGTCTCATAAATAGGTGCTCATCAGCTGTCATGACCTTTCTTGTAGCATAAGGGTTCTCGCTGGACACTCCCTCAGAAGGAGCAAAGTTCTTCACTCTTTCGCTAGGGACAGGCTCAAGAGGTGCGGCCCCGACAGGGTGACAAAAGTACGCGATTGAATATCTTGGTCCATTGCTTGTCTCCCCTTGCACCCCGGAGCCGCCTTCTGAGGGGAAGACAACTCTATGCACAGTGCTGCGGAAGAGCCCGTTCGTCCAGTATGACAACAGGTCGCCTATGTTGATGAGAATGGGCGGGCTGGGGTCTTCTTCAGTGCCAGCAGGACACACAGGAACAGGTGCCCAGACGTTATCTTTTCTCAGAACTTCGAGTCCTGCTTGTCCCTTCAGCCGGAAGAGGAGAGTGATAGAACCGTAATCTGAATGAGCTCCAGCACGAATATCATCTTCGGAGTGTGCAGTAGATTCCGGGGGCGGATAACGCAGAAAGCGAAGGATAGAGCTCGAAGCGCCTTTTTCTGTGTTGTGAGCAGAGGAGAAGAAATCGCCGACCTGGTTTTAAAATAAGATAATGCTTGATGCTGGTTATTTTTTGAATTGACTTACACCAAGACCCAGACCAAGCAGGTAGAGAAGCTTCTGGCAGAGATCGTGACAGGAATTAGCAAAAGCACTTATCTGAGGCTCATCGGAAACCAGGTCAGATGGGAGAGGCTGTTGAGCTTCCCCATCTGCGAACTCGCCAAAGTTGAAGGCTCTGCGATTGCTATTTTAGTGACACATCATGGAATGCCTCGAAAGTTGCTCACTCTTTGAAGTCCCCGACCTAGTTTAACATAATTAGCCCTTTATCCCAATAAAGTACTTTTGGAAGAATGACGCAAATGTACCTTTTGATGTTTAGGATCCAGTGTTTCGGAGTGCATGCCAGACCACCCACGGTTGTTGGTCTGGATCGTGCACCTTTGCTTCTCTTCCAAGGGGCATTCGAACGTCTTTCGGACCTATATCGGTATTCTCAGCCACCTGAACTCGCGATCGATTCGAATAGATCTGCTTCTCTTACTCACAAGATCAAAGGCCCCATCAATATCCTTAGCTTGAATGTCGTGGCCCAGGTTGCGGATGTAAATGAACCCATGCTCTTCAGCAGCGTCGACAAGCTGTTTAGCCACTTCTTTTTGGTCGGCATCAGGAGCAGAAATGTCAATGATTGGTATGTTGGCCGTGTTCTGGTCTGGCCCCAGAGACCGTCTGAAGTGAGCAGCTTTGTCTCTCATGGGATAGTTCATGGTTGCAGTAAGGATGGGAGATGGAATACAAGCGACTGCCCTGTTTTCCGGCCAGATGTGATTTTAAGTAACGAACTATTAGAGGTTCTGGTTCCTTATCTGTGACAAAAAGCGTCATATCCCCCACCATCCTCATTCGTAATGGTAACTGAGTGTACCTCTGTAAGTACCTATCTCGAGCGAGTTCGGCTCTGCACAGCCACATGAGTGATCAGACCTACCTTAGTACCTTGGGTAACTCTCACCAGCCACACCCATGAGGGCTGCCCGCTCTTTCCCCTGGTTGGCAATGGATGGGAGTTAGCGGTTAGAATGTCCCGTCCCGCCCGTAGGTAGGTCGCTTCATTTGGTGATCGTGTGGCATGGTAGGCAGGTACCGTTTAGGTACGTCCCTGCCACTGTAGCTCGCCAAACTTTCCTGTCACGTCTTCCACTAGCTGTCCGTTTGAAGCTGAAGATACCTTCTCCAAACCTTCATTTCCCCACGAAAATCATAGCAAAATCTTACCTTTTCTCTCCTCCTCTCTCCGCCCTACGTCGGTCTCTCGCTGTCATCATCGCGACCCCTCTGACGGCCCGCCTGGTGCCTTCTCTCTTCACCGGCTGTACCATTCAATCCCAGCCAGCACCTTAACTCACTTGGCGGCCCTCCTTTCAACCCCGCCATATTTTGTCAACATCAACGCCTGCGATTTCTACTCCTCGCTCTTCGCTCGGCCGACGATACCTTGCCGCAAAATATCCTCATTCGCCGATCTCCAGTACAGGAACTATAGCACGGGCTTCCGAGTTGCTGCGAGTCTTTCGAGATGCCATGTGAGTCTCACCCTGTGCGCTTAGGAGCAGGCTCGGCCCAGAGTCAGTCTGGTTCAGGGTTCAGCATGGAATTGTACAGCCTGGAATATATGCTGCAGTAGCCAAAAGCTTCCCAGTGTGGTTGACGCAGCTTGTGCGATCTCAATCGTTCATGGGAAAGCTCTAGGCCATGTGCCAAGTCAATTGCAGTCTTGGCTTTGTATACTGGTCACCCCAACAGCTGCTCATCATAGAGAACATCACACCACGATGAAGAACCATTCTCCGTCGGTTTTCTTCTGCAACATCCTTACAATTTAGCTTTTGTAGCTTGTGCTAACTCTCAAACTAGTCCTTGTTGAGGATTCCTGGATTAATGACCAGGTTTCGTATGTGCCATGCGACTTACTCTCCCACACATATTCGCGCTAACAGAAAGCAATATAGCACCCACGACATCTCCGAGCTCGAAGGATGCGCCATCGCTGTTGATGCAACCTATTACCTGAGCCAGCTTCTCGAAACCCCTCCGGCCCATGAACCTCTCTTGTCAGCTCTCGGTGGCCTTACTGGGGTCGAAGCACACATAAACCAGAACCTCGATCTCTGGGCAAAGTCTGAGATTGTCCCTTTCTTCGTTTTCGATGGCCAGCCCGTAACTGGCCAAGATGACATCACTCTGGATCGTGGCCTCAAGGCCAACAAGAAGACAGATGAGGCCTGGAACTTGTACTCTCAGGGGGCCGCTGAGGAGGCGGTGACGACCTTCGGTACTAGCCCAGGTTGGTGAACTTTGGCTCTCAATTTCAGAAATCGACCTAACGTGAGGTCATGATAGGTGCCTTTCGCATTCAAAATCTTTACCCGTTGCTTCAAACGGTTCTGAAGAACCGTGGGCTTCACTTCTTGGTTGCGCCCTACACTGCGTGCGCTCAGGTGCGTATCTTGTGAACTTTACGACTAGTCACTCTCATTCTGATAGTAATAGCTCGCCTATTTTGAGATGATCGACTCAGACCAATGCTCGGGTGTGATGGGCTCTCAGGAACTTCTCCTATACCCTGTCAAGGATTCTGTCATTCGGGCATTCGACTGGGAAGCCAAGACCGTTTCTGCTATCTCGAAGAAGAAGGTTATGCGCAGTCTTACACCCACTGCAAGTGAGCCAAGGTTCATCGACTCATTTCTCATGGCCGGTACATCGTTCCTGCCTCCATTCCCTGCTCTTCTGGAAAGCTCTATATACTCGGACTACAATATTTCGACTGCCGCCAACTTGCTGAGGACTGCAGAAAACAGTGTCGCAACTGCTTGCGCCAGCTTCAACGATATACTCCAAAGCAAGGACTCTGGTTGGCTTGATAAGTATCGCAAGGCAAGAATGGTTGTTCACCACTTCGTTTACATTGCTGAGAGTGGCGAAATCCGTGTAAACGACTATGAGCACTTGACTAGTGACAACCATGAATACCTCGGCCTCCAGTTGCCGGCTGAACTATTTCATTATCTTAACACCGGCTTGATTGGGCCCCGTCTACTGGGCAACATCACCCATGGTCAACTTCTCATTCAGCCAACCTTGGACGGAGTTGCCTCGGACGAATACAAAAAGCTCATCACTGACAGAATAGTACCCATTAAAGAGCAGGCCCTTTCTCTGTTGATCCCCAGACTTCACCGAGGTATCCAGCACAAAAATATCAAAGTTCGTGTCTGGTTTGACCCCAAATATTCTTACACGATCAACCACCGCTCTGTCAACCCTCCTCCCTCCCAGAGGGTTGCTAGCTGGAGTGTCAAGGATGAGGATCTTCGTGCATTCTTCCCTGATGATTTCGCGGGCCCCGTGTCGCTGGAAGTCTTGTCACTTGTTAACTCCGACTTTGTGGCCAAGACATTCCCCAAGGACAGGCCCATAAAGGGAATCGACAGCACAGAAATGGTGACCTCGGTTGCCATCTGGCGATTCCTCCACCTGAGAGGATACGCCAATGACGAGCACAAACTTACGCCTTGGGGTAATGCGTTGGCCAACACTCTTCTGATTCTCCAGGACGCCAAGGAGAACCATCCTGAGGTGACTGGTTTGCCAGAAGCAGCCCTGGTTGCATTTGAACTCATCCGAAACGGACTTTTGACAGGGAAACACACTGAAGGCCAAGCTGGCCTGCCCCGGAAAGGTTCTTATGAAGAAAAATCAACTCTTGTGCTGATCAGCGAGTGCGCTTCCTTGTTGAAGCTTCGGCACCAGGTTTATGGATACACTGGTCCGCTTAACAAAAACCTGCTCAGCTTCTGGTCCTTGGCATCGGCAGTGAGAGAAGCTGATCGAGATCTGGTTGAGGCGATTGTGGCTTCTATGTTCTTGTATGGACAGTCGAAGCGCGAAAGGGATGATCAATTGGAAATCAGTCGACGGTGCAGTTCTTCCTCCTCCTTCATTAGACACCACTAACGTTTAACAGGCTACCTTTTCATCAAGAGCCCGATATCGGCCTCGGCATTGCTGTGCGGACCTTCTTTGATGACGATGAAGCTGGAGGGGACAAGGAGGCTCGCTTGCAGCGGCTGGAAGAGTTCCCTAAGACATTCGTGCCGTATGCCGAGTCACTAACTAAGGACTTCCGTGTCGTACGTGACTTTATCGATGCACTCGTTAAGGGCGTTAAAATGCTGGGTACGGACGAGCTACGTGCGGAAGATAAGGATGCATGGACCAAGGCCCAGGCATACCTCGAGGCGCGACCATTCTAGAGCATGGCCGAGGCTTGAGGCATATATAAGGCAATGTTACATTAGTGGTCTTTGAGCGTGGCCCCTTTGGTCACAAACCGTCTTGCAGACTTAGCGGCGTTGGCGCGGGCGGCATAAAAAGTCAGGGACATAAAAGTTATCAGATCAGCAGACATGTCGAAGGAGTTGCCAGCAGGACTTGTGGGGATGGGCTGAGGTCAACTGAGGAGGTGCTGCTGGAGAGCATGGTAACACGTCCCTAGCCGGGCGGCTCTAGAGGTCGTTAGACGAATCATTGAAGATCCTAACGTTAGTAGATATAGCCAGGTTGGTGATATCCAACATGCGGACTATATCCAGTCAGGAAAACTGCTTTCACACACAATTCAGCACCAAAAGAAAAAGAGAGAAAAGTCAGACTACACAACTGGTGGCTTCTTAAGGGTCTTATAAGTGACTAGCGATTATATTGATATGAGCGGAGAAGCTCTCCAGTCTGGATTGGATATAAAATATCATTAGCATACCACCACGACCACCAACGCCTGTTCACATATCCCTTAAGAAAGGGTCAGTACCATAGGCCCAGCCACAGTAATGTCATCTGACAAAACGCCCTCCAAAGGTCCAGCACTGGTTAAGGTCACGTAGACAACGCCCGCAGCTCCTTGGGGAACTTCGCAGCCCTCTCCCTCAGTGAAGGGGGTGAATTTAGTTCCACCGGGAAGCTGACCTCCAGAAGTGAAACCACAGTGCGTCGCTCCAGTGGCAGCCTCGGAAGCAAGCTTCACTTTGGTTCCAATGGCTACAGCCTTAACGTCCTGGCCCTCGGCCATAGCGAGAGTGGGAAACGCTTCGATCTTGAGGTTAGAGCCCTCGGGGCATTCCGTGATGAAGGGTGCGGCGAGTGAGAAGACTGCCCGGGGACCAAGGGCGGTATCGAGAGGTTGAGGAACTGCCTTTGCCTGAGAAAATATCCTGATGGCGGTTTGATGTCGTGCTTCGACAGTGAGAATTGCGCCAGCGGTGCCGAGGATAGCAGGGTCAGAGAGTAGTGGTGCTGCACCCAGGTAGGCCGAGACACCAACACTCTCGAGAATAGCAGCTGTTGCAACCATGGCAGCTGGGTCGGCTGTTGCGCCTTTGAAGTCGTATTTGCATTCTTGGACAGGTGTGATGCCATTACCTGCGAGCGCAGACTGGAGGAGGACTACGTGAGACGCTTCGGTTTTGCCAATGGCCTTGATGTCGTCAAGGGTCTGTGTTGAGAGGCCGAGAGGTGCGAAAGCTTCGTCGGAGAGGGTTAGAAAAGCCTCGCGGTAGAAGGTATCCTCAAGGTGTTCCAAGGTCAGGGCGCTGAGCGTGTTAGTTGAGTCGTTTCGTGTGACAAGGGCTGGCTAGCTATGCTGTCAAGACTTACAATTGGAGGATATCCAAATCACTGAGGCCAGCAGCAGCAGCAGCATCATTCTGGCGCTTGGACAAGTCGTGATACTGAAGTTGCCTCTTGGTGAATCTAGGACCAGAAGGCATCGCCAAAGCTGTGGTGGCGAAGAGGCCGAAGAGAATAGTCTTGAGAGATGCCATGTTGTATAATCAAAAGGAACGTGTCGGACCAGCCAGCAAGGAGAGTAATGGAAATAAGTTCTAGGAATAAAATAAAAAAAGATATTAAACAATGAGATTGACCTCAGTTGAAGAATCGAATCGAATGTAATGGGAATTAGGGTATCAAAAGCAGGCCAGCGCTTATTGAACGAGCGAGTGTAATCGAAAGGACAAAACCGTCTTTATAAGTCAAGTCAAGTCAAGTCAAGTCAGATCGAGAAAACAAAACTAGAACAACGTGGATATCGCAGCCTTAATATTCTAATTCTCAACGCCGGGATCGTCATCTTGACTTGTTCGGCTGGCACAGCATCCGTGATCTCACAGGGGTGTTAAGCATGCCTCACCACTGATGCCAAGAGAGGACGACGTCCAGGAACGCCAGATAGCCGTGTTTAACAAGCTTCCCCTTCAAACGTTTCCGCTGACTGAGCAGTGAGCTCGACTATCCGGGGTTTGCCATCTCAAGATCTGAGACGTCAAACGGGAGCCATGAAACCGGCAGCGAACATGTAGCATATCTACAATGTAACGCTGTAGGTAGCCCAGGGATGATGATGAAACACTGTCCTGAGATCCCGAAATCCCCTCTCTGCCTTATTTGGCCCGTTATAAGCATTCCTCGGTCCGGTCATTGGCCGAAACACGTATGATACATATCAACCCTGCGAAAGAAGCCAAAAGGCTAAAGTAGAGTTAATAGTTTGCATCTGATAACTGTAATCTAGGCTCGTTTGTGCCATTGCTGGCTACCTAACTAACCCAGAATCGGAACAAAACAAAGGCTTGCCGGTAATTTAAGATGGTCGGCAAAACAATGTAGCCGCCTTCACCTGAAAGTTGAATAACTCACGGTTGCCTTGCAAACAGCCCCAGACATCCTACATAGGTACATACGTAGTCGAGAACAAGGCCTCGTCGTTTTCCCAGAAACAGATGGAAACGCTTTTTCTAACAAAATATATATAAAAAAAGGCAAACAGCACATTGACAAGCAGGGCAATCATATACCGCTTGAGAAAAGATGAGATTACTTCCGCTGTTCAATACCACTACCTAAAAATCCGCCTCCTTCTGGCAATCTTCTCCGTCTGGCAATACTCCTCACACAAACATAGATATACCTTCTTCCTCGACCAAGTAGCCCGTTTTGAAAACTACGCACTACATTGTCCCCATTACAATCGCCAGCTAACTTTTGTTGGTCCTTCACAGAGCATAAGGGTTCAGAGATCGGATGGTCAGGCAACTAGTCCCTCGGTTAGCACAATACTTTTTCACTAAATCAAGGTAACTCACGGTGGGCTCTTGGTGAGATCCGTCTTCAGGATCACCGGTACCCTCGTCATCTCTGTCACATCCTGGATGTAGTCACCACCCTCCTCGCGAAGCGAGAAGAAGCTGAGGTACTTCTCCTTGTTGGTGAGGCGAGTCTCGACAGCCTCCGCCACAGGTACCTTGGAATCGGAACGAGTGCGATGCAGGTTGCCGGCGTTGGATGAGGAGCGAGCGGGTGAGCCGGGGACGCTCTGAGTAGGGCGCTCAGCCAGGGAGGCTCCGGCCATGGCCTCTGTCACGTCGGACGTGTTGTCGTCATCATCGTCGAAAAGAGCATCAACGTCATCAGTTGAGATGGTACCGGTATCAGTTTGCTTGCGAGTAGCTTCCTCACGCTCCTTTCGGACACGTTCAGCCTCCTCAGCCTGGCGCTGAGCCGCTAAAGCATTTGAGTGTCGGATGGATGCGGCAGCCTTGGGTCGCTCATCCTCTGGCACGAAGGCCGAACTGGGAACACCCTTCTCCCAGTAAAGCTCAAGGACCCGTTTCTCCTTTCGGAACTCGGCCTTCTTCAGAGGTAGCTGGTCACAGTGAACTCGCTTCTCAAATCCCCACTCAGGGATGAGAACGTCAAACGCAGACTCGTATACGCATAAGACGATACCTTCAGCAATGAGGTCGCCGTTGGCCTCTTGGCGCTTCTTATCCATCGTTCGGCAAGACTCAATGTGGACACTCTGCTCCTGGGCATTCTGCGCAGAATCCTTTTTAGTGTTACAAGACTCGGCGGTCTTGACGAGATTCTCCAGATCCTCAGTAAACTCAATCTTGCCCTCAGAGAGAACAGCCTCGAGTTGACGGTGGACAATAATATCGGCGTAGCGCCGAGTGGGGTTGGTGAAATGAGTGTATAGAGGCAGATTGAGAGCATAGTGGGGCCACAGCTGCTTTCCAGTCTTACCTGAAATAAAGTACTTGGCCCTCTGCATAGACTTGACGACAAGAGTCTCCATACCCTTTCGCAGATCTGGGTCATCAACCTTGAAGAGGCTGTTCTGGAGGGCGCCGCTGCCAGATGAGTCGATATCATAACCCAACGCTGTCATGCGCTCCACGAAAGTCTGGAGTCGGCGGGGGTTGGGGGCAGACTGGCGACGAAGGAAAGCCTTCTCAGGAAGCCCCTCAACAAGACGTTGTGCCACATGAGCATTAGCTTTGTGAATCAGTTCTTCCACAAGCTCAAGAGCTTGCGTTGAGTCGAAGAGGTTGTCCTGGACGGGGTCGTTCTCGTCATCGAGTTGCTGGAGCAGTCTAAGAGGCGCAATGGGTTCGCCACCGGCTCCGAGACGAGCTTCACGGAACTTTTGCGACACAGCGTTGAGAATCTGTATCGTGTTGACAGGAACAGCCGCGTTCTTGTATTCCGAGGGGGTTGTTAGAGCATCATCAATGTCGTCAAGAGAAACCTTGCCGGCGCTCTTGATGATCGAGCGACCAATCCATGCATCACCTTCGGCGACAGAGCCAGTGTGAGGGTTCACGTTGAATACCACGGACACAGCGAGACGGTCCTGTTCAGGGGTCAGAGAGCAAAGTTCAGCTGACAGCTTGGGCGGCAACAGGGCGCAAAATCGATTCTTGAGCTGAACGGAGGTGCCTCGCTTCTTAGCCTCGCGATCCACCAGAGAGTTAGGCTTCACAAAGTGTGCGATGTCAGCTACATGAATGCCGATCTCAATCTTGCCATCAGGACGAGACTTGACATGCACGGCATTGCCGAGCTCAGCTCCTCCATTGTAGTCGATCGTGAAAACGTTCTCGTCGCGGTAGTCACGACGTTCAGCGAGGGCTGCCTCGTCTTCCCTATCGAGCGACCAGTCTTGCAGGCCAACGCTGCGGAGCACGGCATCAGAGAACTCATCTGACGCGAAATTGTTATCACGAAGAAGAGCATCGGTTTCAACCTTAAGATCACCCATGCGTCCAAGCTGCTCCACCAGAGTTCCAAAGGGGTGGAGGGAGGTAATGGGCCAGCGCTTTATGCAAGCCACAAAGATTCGATCAGCGTAGTCTTGGTGCTTCTCAACAAAGTCGCGGGGTGCCTGTTCGGTGGGGATGGCAATAAGTGGCACACGCTTGTCTGTGGGTTTGAACCAAACAATCTTTGGCTTCTCCTGTTGGCGAGGCTCGGGGTGGCGCGAGTTGTTACCTTCACGAGCAGCCCTCTCGGCCTCTTGCTTCTCCTTGGTAGCTTGGCTGCTAGGGCGGAGTAGGCCAAGAGTGCCGGAAAACATTTGACCGGCAACACGCTCAACAACAGCAACGACATGGCCAGCGTACAGGGGCTTCTGTTCATCGTTGATTTCCTCCTCTTCAACAAGGAGGAGACTCTGGCCCTCAACTTCCACATCATCGTTCTTCTTCTGAGTGGGGCGCTGACGAAGACTGCCACGACGACGAATTCCGCCCTCAGGAGCGTTACCATCGTTGTTATTGCCAGAGTTTTGATTACCTTGGTTAGTGGATCCGGATCGAGTATCTGTAATGTCCTTGCGTTTCTTTTTCTCTTCTTTCTCGCGCTTCTGACCCCAAACTTCGTCAACATCCAAAAGCTCGATAGCGACAAGATCACCTTCGAGCGCACGGTTTCGATCCTTGCTACCACAAATGAAGATATCAGCATCAAGCAGACCATCCTGAGTGGTAACATAAGCATCACTACGGTTCTTCTTGTTGACACGGAGGATACCAGACACGAGCTGCCCATCAGCCAAAAGAGCGGGGAGGGAGGCCTGAGGAAGATAGGGGGTAAAAAGGGTCTTTCGCTGTTGTTGCTGCTGCTGGCCACCAAGCTGGCCAGCATGCTGGGAGCCCTGGAGACCCATGAAAGGCTGGCCATTCATTTGAGCGGCTTGCAAAGCCTGTAGCTGGTTCAGCTGCATGGGATTGAGCTGCTGTCCATACATCTGGGGCATCATCATCTGGTTGGGGAGCTGCATAACCTGAGGTTGATTGGGGTTATACTGAAAGCCTCCAATTCCAGACACGGACTGGTTCATAGATCCGCGAGGTCGGTGACCAGGCTGGAAGCCTTGGCTCTGTCCGGCATTGCCAGGCTGTTCTTGGCCCTGTCCTTGAGTACGCCAGTTACCTTCGAAGTTGCGGGATCCGGTACGGGCATGGCCGCTTCCGCGGCGTTGGAATTCATTGCTCTCAGCATTCAAACCACCACGGCCACCGCCTCGGCCATTAACCGCCATGCTCTGACTGCGGCCATGACCGCCACGTCCACCCCGGGTCGAACCCTGAGCAACAGGAACATCGAGGGTGGACTGGGAAGCGGGCTTGTTCTCCTCGTCAGGGGCAGGAGAGGCAGGAAAGGAGAAGCCGGTGGTTGTTCGCTTCTGTTGAGCAATCTCGGCGGCCTTCTTGGCGTCGGCGAGGGCTAGAGAGTGTCTTCTTTGATGACCACCACCAGCACCTCCACCACGGCCGCCTCGGCCTCCAGTATTCTCTCGACCCTGGGCTTGAGGGGCTTCAAAGTTGCCAAAACCGGATCCAGAAGCACCAGACGAGGGAGCAGGAGGAGGTCCCATGCCCATGTTAGGGAGTGCCGACTGATTACGGCGATGTGAGAGTGGCTGGGTGGGAGGAGCCATGTTCTGCTGAGGTACTTGGTTGGGGAATTGGAAAGCAGCTTGCGACATATTGGGCATTGGCTGCAAAGGATTGAACGCACCACCAGGACCGAGGGGCTGTCCCGGAGGCACCATTCCCATATTGACATATTGCTGATGCGTAGCTTGAATCTGCTGCTGCTGTTGCTGCAACAGTTCGATCTGCTGCTGAATGGCAAGCTGCTCCACTGTAAGATAGATAGTTAGTGATTGCCGCATGATGAACTCCTATAGCTGTGGCAGGGGGCATCATAGATGATGACTTAGAAACATATGGAACGGTTGCTGCTTGAAAGGGGCATGATGACACAGTGAAGGTACATGATGATGCATATATGAAGTGTTGAAAACAGGACAGTTGAGGCCTCATGAACTTACTTCCAGGGTTAGCGAACATGCTCATCAGTGGCGTCAGCTCAGAAGGGCTTCGGCGATGGGCAATGTGAAGTCTACGTCCAGCAGGCCCAGGGACGCCGCCAACCTGAGGCTGCTGCTGGGGAGCTTGCTGTTGAGAAGACTGCTGCTGCTGCGGCTGCTGTTGCTGCGGCTGCTGTTGCTGCGGCTGCTGCGGGGGTTGCTGTTGCTGGTGCTCCATGTTGGGCAGTTGAGTCAAGAGCACTTGGATTGTAAATATAGCACGTCGATGTTCGGCGAAGTGAATCGATCAAGATACAGCTAGTTGGATCTGATATCGAGAAGCGTGGTAGTGGCCGAAGATGGGCGGTTGGGTGAGGATGGGCGAACCTGTTGGGTAACGGGCAATGGATGAGGCGAATTGCGATGGCGATAGGCGATGGCACGGCGGGACAATGTTTGCCCAAAAGGAGGGTAGACGAGCTTGCGCTGAGCCAAGGAGCGTGAGTTGGAAAGGCGGCGATGAAGAGGCAGATGGTGAGACGACAAGAAGTGAAAGCCTGGATGGATGGAACAAATTCCAACTCCTGGCAACAGGAAGAGAGACGAGAGTGAGTTGGAGGAGAAGAAGAGGAGGGATGGATGCGAAGAAGGTGATGGGTGGATAGGTAGGTACCTACGGAGTAGATAGAGATGGTTTAGCTTCAGTGGAGAGCGTGAGGTGGGATACGGCTACGTACCCGATAAGTTTTGGACTGTAGGTACTTCTGGCCTAAATTTACGTATGTCTTGCACAGCTGCTAGGTAAGAGCCTGCCCGATGTGCCTTCCCTGCCTGGTTCTTTGTCTCCATTGGCACTTTAAAATGGAAAGCAATAGACGCAACAGTCGAAAGTTACTGCTGCTGTATTTCTCGTACCGCTTTGGCTGACATTTACAGGAACATACCTACCTTACGAGCGCAAATGAATATCTGGGGCCATTTGGATCACAGCTCTAGCATCCAGGCAGCTGGACCGGGGGATTATCCTTAGAGACGCCTAAAGATGGGGTTGTCCGCTGGTCTAACGCGCCTCTAGTGGCCTCCAGCCGGGCCTGGTAGAGCCCCTAGCACCTGAAGCTCGCACTGACGCCGGCTGACTCCGCTAATAGCGGGGGTGCTATCTCCTAAGTGCCATGGATAGTGGCTGCAAAGTCTGGACAACTCGTTCAACTGAAACTGTGGACGACTCCTTTCAGTCTCTATCCTGGATCGGACATGTCAAGAACACATTGCGAGGTTCATTTCACCGAAATATGAGTCTTGAAATTACTGTGCTTGTTTTCAGGAGCTTCCTGTATCCTGCTCACAAAGATGGTCAAAGTCCAAGTACAAGGGCACCACCACCCCCCTAGCTTGAGATTGGACATGGTCCATGATTCAAGGAGTCGATCTTTCTGAATGTGGCGTTGAGGGATGAGAAAGGCGTCATCTGGAGTAAAAGGAGTGAAAGTTGATAAGAAAACCAGGCGATGGATCATTGTTCATATTTCCCTTGCTGCGAGACAGTCGTGCTTTGTGATGGAAATAGTCGAGGTCTTGAAATTGAGCTGGCCGATATACGAACAATTAGAATTTTACGGATACTAACAGTGGAAATAGCTACCTAGCCCAGGCTTTGTCTAACTTCGCTACCCCAATATTGAGTTGAGACGAACTTATTCAGCAGAGGACAGTTCTTCGCTACGTTTCAATACCTCTAACATTGTCAACACCTTGGCACTACTATTGTCAAACAGTGTCGAAACAGACTCCTCCCCTAAACAAAACCCCCAAGACCGACTACCGAGTACTCGTCTTCATCCTCTACGCGTCCAGTGTTACACTTCAAAGCGTCCTAAACGAACGAGGCCCCTGTGACTACCCAATGTGGTGATGCTTAACCGTATCCGCCTGCGCTAGAGGCGACGAACCTGGGACCCCTTGCTTCAAGCCATGGATACACAAACATACCGAAGAACAAGAAAGGGAGCTGTAAGTTAAAATTATTTCTCTACCCGTTGGCTCGAGCCGGGGGGGGGGCCAACTAAGCAAGCTTAGTTGGGCACAAAAGTGCGATACAGTTACAAAAGGCTGATATAACTAAGACTACTAAAATTTACGTATAAAAGTTACGTATAGCTAAAAAAACAGATATATC